CTTGAGACCTTCTGCACAGAAACCATTTGGTGGCCCTTCCTCTCCCCAGCCCGTGGCATTCCTCAGTGGTCTCTCACCCACGTTCTACCAGGGTCAATCTTGCTTAGCGTCTGGGCTCCAGAGTGCATTCAGGGTGGCATAAAAAGAAGGGTCAAGAATCTGGAGAAGAGTTCTGGATTTCAGCCTGCCAGGTGGAGGGGCTTGCCCTAAACCCACCCGTCCTGACCCTCTGCCCAATGTGGAAAAGGACGAAGAGTCGAGCGGTACTGCCCAACGAATCTGGGGGGGGGCGGGACTGTGATCCAGGACAAGTCGTCTCAAAAGGGAATCGAATCTAACAAAACGGCGTCCGCCCAGAAAGCAAGAAACCCCCTGGGGAGACCCTCGGGGACTCTTCCAGCAATACAATTCTAAGATTTCCTGGCTCTACAAGCCATGAAGTTGAACGTTTCACCCCAAGGCACATTAGCCCAAGGCACATTAGAGTTTTTTTTTTGTCTTAATTAACAAGACATGGGATTAGAAGGCAGATTTTCAAGTATAAATCTGCCCCTCTCTTTTGTTAATGCTGACCCTTTTTTTTCCTTCAGTCTTCCAAACCCCAGTCCCAGGGGGCGCGTGCGAGCTATTCTCTGGCCCCAGAGGGGGAAGCCCGACCTGCTCTTAGCCCCCTTGCCCTTTTGGGTAGAAACCCGTCCCTCGGCGGACCAAAGAAAAGACCCAAGAGGAGGGGAGCCCAGTTACCAGTGATGTTTCCTTGTGGTGACCCCGAACTTGGCGCTGCACTCGTAGCAATTGGAGCCGTCGCACCAGGGAGGTTCCTTGGACAGCATGTCTGCAAACACAAGGGAAAAGCGGGAGACTGCAGAGGTGGCTTGAGAGGGGGAGACCCCCCCCAGGCCGTAACAGGTCCACGACTTGCGCCCGGATTGAGAGGAGCCCCTAAGGTGGCTCATGTGAGAGATGAGCACGAATTGCCCATTCGGTGGTTCATCCTTAAGATGAATAGGGGTTTGGTGGTTCCCAGCCTTGCCTCCTTCGGTGGGCGCCCACTCAGAGGCTTCCCTGCCCTGCCTCCTCTGGAAGCTGCCTCGGAGCGGGCGGCTGCTGGAGGAGGCAAAGTTGGTAACCACCAAGCCCTGGTCTGTCCAAAGGAGGAACCGGCACGAACCACAGGTTCAGCCCCATCTCTAGTTCACACACACTAGCTGGGACGTTAAGAGGCTCCCCTTCCCTTCTCCACCTTTAGTTCTGCCAGATGAGGCAGAGCTCCAGCCCGCTTACCCAGAAGCCTGAAGAGCAGTTGCTTGGTTGCCACCTGGTAGTTGAAGATGTTGACCCCTTGGTTGTTATTGACGCCCAAGCGAGCCCCGGCTCTCACGATGGCACGGCACAGGTTGGCGTTCCCCTTCATGTAGGCCAGGAGAAGCACTGGTCGTAGTAGCAGGAGGAGAAAAGAAATTGCATTTTGGCCATGAAACTACATTGGATTTCATGAGAGCTTCCTTGGTGACTGCTCTCAAACGTGCGAGTCTGCTATGCTGGCTCCTTGGGTTGCTAACTTTCTGCCTGCGGGCCGAGGCCTTTCTGTCGCACCGGCCTCTGGGGAAAGGCCCTGCTCGCCTGCAGAAGGGGTGTTTTTTTTAAATCACTTTTGGAAAAGCGACTTGGGTTTTTATTTGCTTTAAGGGTCATTCTTCCCGCTACCAATCCAAAGGGACAAGGAGGTGGCGCCGTAACGTCTTACCCGTGTGCCCTTCGGCGTCGGGCTTGTCCAGGGGGTATTCCGGCATGCATTCCAGGAAGAGGTCGAAGATGGCTGCCGCGTTATCTTTCCCGTATTGCCCCAGGATGTGCATCGGGGACTGGCCTCTGACAAGGAGACACGGTGTGTGTGACCCACATGTACACCCACGGCCCAGTTCCAACTGCAGTTCCGCCTCCCTTCCCCATTAAAAAACCCCTAGTCTCTCACACCTCCTAAAATTTCTCCACACATGGAATTAGGGGATGAGAGCACTTTAAAATCCAAATAAACTTCCAGGTAGAGACTAGAACAGTAGCTAGAATAGAACAGTACCCAGTGTGGGATAGTGGACAGAAGAATGGACGGGGACTCTGGAGAACAGGGTTCAAATCCCCACTTGGTCATGGAAACTCACTCGGGAACTAGAACGGGCAAATAATAATAATAATCGCTTGCCGGCAAGTCAGTTCTGACGTAGGATGGCCACTTTTCAAGGTTTTCGAGATAGAGAATACACATAAGTGGTTTCTAATTTCCTTCTTCCAAGGGGCATCCCTAGGATCACTGTGCAGCTTGCCCAAGGCCACCCAGGCTGGCTCTTCTCCCAGGAGGCACCCAGCGGGGAATCGAACTCCCAACCTTTGGCTCTGCAGCTGGAGACCTAAACCACCGAGCTGGCCAGCCAGCTGGAGCTGGAAAAGCCACCCCCTAAAAAAGCCTCATGTACCTTGAAAACCCAGCTGTGAGTGAGTTCTGATGTTTCTGAACTAGAACTCACAGAATGCCCCAAGGCAGCAATCGTGGGGGATTCTGGAAACCCTCGCTCAAAACCACGAACCTGTCACATCCGCTAGGAGAGAAAAGTTGCAACTTGGCTGCTAACCAAACCAAGATGTGTTCAATAAAAAGAAAGGCAGACAGTTTTGAAGCCGGCGGAATGGGAACTGGGTTCTACCCCTCAAGGTCCTTTCAGACACCTGCCTCTGAAAGAAACAGGGACCCCCTCCACTCCCCGATAACCTCCACAGCCCAAGGACAGCTGGTCCAAAGAGGGGCTCTTTCCCCCTTCCTCCTGGGGCGGTGGGGGTGTAGGCTGCAGCACCTACCTGAGATTAAAGGCTTCGGCATCCACCGTGCACTCCGTCAGGAGGACACGGATGTTGGTCAGACGTCCTTGCATGACCGCCAGGTGCAGGGCTGCGTGTAGAGGCAAAGGAGCGCCCGTGAGCACGATGCAAAACATCAGACAGTCAGAGCCTTTACTGACACTGACACAAACACACACAAATCACATATACAAGGTAACAGACAAGCTCTTAATTAACTAGACCCGTGAACTGATGATGTCTCAAGTCTGGGGCTCCTCGTTTCCTGGCTCAAAAAGGCCGCCACGTTCTCCACTATGACTGACTGTCCTGTTGACGGAATATACCTCTGTGCGCCACAGTTCCCTCTTCTTTAACCAAAAGGGGTCTAAATGTTTTCTACGGGGAGCTGTACAGAATGGACAATACAAAATCACGCGAGACTGCAACTCTTCTCCGTCCAGCTCACAGAAGCAGCCTGTCTTGCTTCTCTGCCCCCCCTTTTTTTGGAGGGGGGGCTAAGATCACGGGTCACTTCAAAACAGAAATCAGGGGTGGATCTCAGTGCCTCTTTCTCTGTGATGCCATGCTAGGGTTGAGCTGTTCACCCCCTTAGAAATGAGAACAAGAGCCGGATCTCTTTGGATAAAAATTTGGATGTTCAACCAAGGATTCAGGGTTCGTCTTTTCCAGCATTTATAGCAAGCAACCCACCCACCCTCAGAAAATATGTGGCATGTTAAGGGCTGATTCATTTCCGTGGCTGAGGCGGTGGATTGTCATCTAGGCAAGTTTACCCTGAAATGAACCCTTTTATTTTAAGAGGCCACAAGGCTCTCTCTCTCCCTATTTTGTTTTATAAATGCTGAAAAGGTTGGGAACCCACAAGGCCAACGTGCCAAATCTTTGGGAAAGCCCGGAGCGTTACCGTTGTTCCCGTTCTCGTCCACGGCGGCAAAGTCGACTCCATTCTCCAGAAGGACGGAGCAAATGGTGGGAAGGTCCTGCTGGGCGGCGAGGTGGAGGGCCGTTTGGCGGTGCTTGTTCAGCTCGTTGACTTTGGCGCCTGCCAGGAGCTGGGAGGAGGAGGAGGAAGGATCAGGGCAGATTTGTTTTCAGTAGGGCTCAGCTCCCTTAGAGGGTTAATAACACACAGGCAGGCAACTCCGCTGGGTTTGGGGAAGGGGGAGTCTTGCTTCTGTCTCTGCTCCCCACCTCCAAGAAATAAAGCAACTTTGCTAACCCATCAGGGCCACCGGATTTAAAACCTGGTTAGCATTGATTCTTGTTTTTTTTTAAGGAGCAGAGACATCTTTAGGCCTCCCGAGTTAAGGCACTTGTGCCATTTTAAAATCAACCGCATGGGCAGAAAAATAATACATATACGTACCAGGTTGCGCACAATGATTTCGGAGCCAGCCTGCACGGCGAGATGCAACGGGGTGAGTTTGGAGGCGTCCTGAACCCTGGAGTTCACGTTCGCCTGGACGCTGATCAGGAAGAGGACGCTCTCAATGTCTGAATTCTGAACAGCCACGTGGAGGAAATTCCGGCCTTTGTTATCAACCTGAAGGAGCACCGAATGTCTGGTTTTAGAAGTCGGGTGAGCGAAATCATCCTTGCACAGAAGTCTGGGCAGCCCAACGACCAACGTTCTTCACAAAGATTACAGACAAGGAGCCTGGAAGCAGTAAAACCTGAGAGGTGTCTAGAAAGGTTTTTAACCACCGAGATAGTGTAGGTGATCTGGGCGTGACTGGCCCTGGAGCAGCCAGGGAATTAATTGCACAGCCAGCTGGGAGAGGACTGCCCCAGAAAATGGCAAAAGGCGGAGGGTGACTCCGAGAGGCTCCCATCGCTGGAGTAAGGCAAAGGGAGTCCCCTTTCCTCTCCTGTACCTGCTCCGCAGCTCCCGGCTCCCTCTTGAGGATGGACTCTGCTGCCTTGTTGTTCTTGTAGGTCATTGCGCAGGCGAAAGGTGTCATGCCTTGCCGGTCCCGGATATTGAGCTGGATGTTTGGGTGTGAAATCATTAACTGGATGATGACGCCGTGCTGGTTGATGATAGCCACGTGGATGGGCGTCCTCCCTTCTGCATCCTGCAACAACAGATCCCATGAGTTGGTAGCACAAAAGAAGACCCTCACTCACACACATACACACACACACACACACACACAGAATCTGCCTTCAAGCCAAGATTAAACAAACTGTCCAGAATACTAAAAAAGTACAGGACGTTGGCGGCTCTCACTATGCTAGGAAGCATAGGTCCAAGCCCAGCTGATAGCGTGGCATCTTTATCTTCTTGGGCAAACTGCTGCACATCAGCAAGGTAAACAGTGAGAGCCTGTGTCTTGAAGAGAGCAGAGCAGAACTCAGGGAGGCCTGGATCCAATCCCTGCTGGGCCATGGAAACTCGCTGGCTAATGAAATGGGAGACGACCCTTTGATCAACTCGCTTTAAAAACTCTAGTAGGGTCACCCTGCGTTAGAAGTGTCTTGGTGGCGTCCAACATAAGAAAGTGAACCAGAAATTTGGTTATCAAGTCTTAAGAGGCTTCTATAAGAGGAGAAAAGTATGAGAGGTGGCTTCAAGAAATGGTTCGGCTGATCCGTGTCTAGGCACTGTGGCCAAATTTCAAAGCATTGTGTTTGTAGCCTTTAGAGTTGCAGAATGAAAGCCAGAGAAAGGAACCAAGACAATGGCTAGCTCCATCTGTTAACCCCAACTGAACAGGACCTCCTGAACGAATGGAACTTGTTAATACTTATGAGAATCTCGTTAATTCAAGGTTTTTGGAGCTCTAGCCCTATCAGTCTGTGCAAGCATTCCACAGCAAGGAACACAACAAAAAACAAAAGCAAGAAAATTTGTCATGGAAGCCGGAAGACACGCACAAATGAGGGCCCCCATTCTCTCTGCCTGGATTGACTGCCGAAACACTTACCCTGGGCAAAAAGGCTTTAAAACTGCAGAGGCTGAGATACATGTAAAGATTTGCAAGGCAGAACAGATCCCTATTGCCTCCCCCTTGGTTGATGAGGGGGACTGCCTAGCCACGAGCTTCTTACGGCCACGGTGTCCAAGTTCAATCTACACTGTCAAGGCCCTGAGAAGTTACTAATAAATACACAGATGAGGAGAATGGCGTGAAGAGTTTCGAATGAGTGGAGCCAGCAAGCCCATTCATGGCATTTCAACTTGAAGCTGCGTAGAACAAGAGAACCATCGTCCACCAACCTGCCGAGTCTATCAGTGCCCGTCTCAGAGATAGGAAACCTCTGGAGATCGCTTGCTCGGGAAAGGGAGACAAAGGACTCATGATTTGCTGATGGGCTGGCCACTCTGTGAACAGAAAGTTGGACCGGGCAGAACTCTGGCCCAATGAGAACGGCTCTTTTTACGTTCTTTGGGCAAGCCTGAATGAACAAGCAAGGACCGTCCCTCAGTAAGTAGTTCATTTGCCGACAGCAACTATAAAAGAGGTGAGCCGATGAGCAGCTACTGACGTGGCACAGTTTGGAGAGGAGAGTCTTCTTTGGGCGCAGAAAACCACGTGGCAGAGAACAAGGTGTCCAGCAGAGAGAGGCCCACCTGTGGCTTCTTTCTTACCTGTGCATTCACGTTGGCGCCAAATTCCAGAAGGCACTGGACAACTTCCTCAAGACCCCAACAGGCGGCCAAATGCAACGGCGTCTGCCCGTCATGGGCTTCCTCGTCGCCTTCACCGTTGGCGCCAGGTTGCCGCGGGCTGTTCACGTCGCAGCCGCTGGCGAAGAAAAACAGCCAACCGTCAAACCTCCACCCAGGCAAGGTCCCGAGAATGCAGAGTGAAGGGCCGCGGTGGTGGTCTTATACCAAGTCAGACCGAGGGTCCACCTTAGGGCGTGGGTGTAGCCCTAAAGCTCTCTGGGAGACGGGCCGGCCCCTGACCTGCGGATGAGAAAGCAGGCAATCTGTTCGTTGTTCTCGTCGATGGCTCTGTGCAGGAGGGTCTGTAAACAGCCGCCCGGTCCTGGACCCCAGCAAGTGGCATCACATCCGTGTCTGACCTGCCGAAGGAAGAAGGATTGGGCTCACAGGCTGGTCAAGGTGTCATGTGTTTTTTCCAGTACTGCAAAACTCAAGAGATGGATCCTCTAGATGTGGGCACGTCACTATCCCACTGATCAGGGATCACAGGGAATCTCCTCCGGGCATTGGGCTTTGTCTTGCATAGGGAAGGGGGGAAAGCCACTGTACCCCTCAACTGAACGACCAGCTGGAAAAGCAGAAGCCCAAAGAGCCAACTGGAAACCAGAGCAGAGGCTCCGAGATGCTTCCTTCTACACTGATTGTAACCTCAAGAACAGCCTTCTATAAAGCATGTTGCAATAATCTAGTCACAAAGGGATTAAGGAACGGATCTGCTCAGGCTAAATACACCTTCTCTAGGAAGGGCCCCCAAGGTGAAGCTGGGCAAAAGGACTCCTCGGCCACAGCGGCCACCCTCCTTCCCAGGAACAACACTGAGTCTGAAGTCCTTCTAAGTCAAGAACCCTTCAGACTTTCTTATCTTCCAAGAGTTTCCTTCTTTATCTTTTTAGACAATCCTATGAGCAAAAATGAACTGTGAGATAAACTAGCATTGATTTTTAACATGTTTCAGCATACATGTTTTCTTATCTCTTTCACCTTTCATTTTGCTGCACTGTTATACAGTAAAAACGGTATTTGTAAATATGCCTGTAATGTTATATTTGTACATCTCTAGCTAGGATGGAGCGGACGCTCAGAAACATCCTGGCTGGATATTTATAAGTCCTGCAAAGGGCAGCCAAATGAAGTTTTTTTTTCCTAGAGCATTCAAAATTTTAACCTTTTTTAGTAATACTTTAGTGGCCCAATAAAATGTGGTATTCAACTCTGCTTTTTGGATTACAAGCATTGTTACCAATTACAAACACAGGAGAATAAGAATTCTATATTAAAGGCAGAAAGAGGATAATTTTTTTTAAAAGGACATCTTCCTTTCGTTTCTTGTCCAAATTCATTATATCTCCACTCTCTGTGCCTACTGCTTAAAACGGTGCCCTGCTCCTAACTTTGCGTGGAAATATTTCCAAACTGAGTTACTTGAAAGATGTTGGAGACAACAAAAAATTAAAAGGTAATGCTTGTTGGCTTGATGTCTCAGATGGAAACGAAGGAGGAATGTTCACCACCACCACCACCACCACCGGCCCTTACCAGCGTTGAAGCGATGTCTTCCAGATTGTTTTCCAGGGCGAGCCAAAGTGGCGGGTTCCCTTTGTCATCCGGCACGGACATGTCCGCTCCCCGAGTGCAGATGGCATCCACCACCAGGGGAAGCTGGTTTTTGATGGCCAGCTGGAGGGCTGTCTCGCCATCCTGAGTCCTGCAATGAGGGCGTCCTGCTGTTTCACACAGGCTTACTCGGCTCTCTGCTCTGCAGACTTCTCTTTCTCTCTCTCCCCCTCTGTCAGGATGAATTATTTCCCTTCCTCAAGAATCCCTCTGGACCGAAAAACAGTATAGGAACCAATGACAACCCCCGCCCAATATAATTTTCAGTTTGTGGGTGGGGACTACAGCAAACTCCCAGGCACCTTTCTGTGCAGGGAGTGTCCACAACCCCCTCCCCCCCCCCCACACACACACTGTAGCCCTTCATGGCACCAAAACACCCAAACACTGCTCACTGTTCATTCTTATACAGCCACAGATCAGAATAAAATAGAACAGCAAAACCAGGAGAACAACAATTGCCCCCAGGAATTGTATTGCTGGCCCTAATTCCTACTTTCACACAGAAGAACAAACTTTAACCCAGCAAGAGTGCCAAAGGCAGTTTTAAGCAATTCTGTGTGGAGGCTTGAATGGGTCACAACAGTACGACCCCTGTATCCGGGGTTGGGGGGGGTCCGTTCCAAGCAAACCCCCCCGCCCGGGCTTGGCAGAAACTGAAAAAAGTTGATTACAGCAAGCATATTCATAGCATGGTCTCTGGTTCTCTCTAGTGTTCTGGTAGCTTCATCTTAAGAAATACATATGTCAATCTGGTTCCTTCTAGTGGCCTGTTCTGGTAGCTTCATCTTAAGAAACATGTATGTCTAGGATTTTTCTTTTAATATTTTCAACCGTGGATAAGTGAATCAGTGGATACCAAACCCACAGATAAGGGAGTCCTACTGTATTTCATTCAGGCACAGCCTGGTTTGAAATAAGAGAAAAACCAGCCGTCACCTTCTTTCCCTTCCATCCCTCCCCGCTTAATCCTGCAGATTTTTGGGAGTCAAAACTAGCCACTAGCGGAAATCCCCTTGTTTCTTTCGGTCTGCCCTAGTTTCTCCCAGAAACTGGGAGAAACGTAACGGCCGCCCTGCACGTCCACCAGGTCCGCTTCTTGCGGTGATTACCTGACGCCGATATCTGCCTGGTGCTCCAGGAGGAAGAGGGCGCTCTTGCTGTCCTGCCTCTGGATGGCCATGTGCAGCAGAGTCTGCCCGTCGGACATGGTGTCGTTGATGGAGGCCCCCGACCCGAGGAGCTGGGCGGCGATCGTGTGCATGCCTGGACGTGGCAAAAAAAAAAGAGAGGACGATACATGGACTGCCTTTCTAACCAGCCCCTCCATCGGCGACTTCCCCAGCACCATGTTGATCATCCACTTGTTTGTTTCCTAGATTTATATTCCACTTCGGCGCCCCCTCTCGTTCCCTGTTTCATCCTCCTAGTAATCCTGTGAAGGAGGCGAGGCTAACAAACCATGAATGGCTGAAGGCGACCCACTAAGTGTCAAGGCACAGCAAGGACGAGAGTCCAAGGTTCGAGTCCAACACCCTAATCGCTAAACCACACTGGCTCCAATTTTTGCACCACGTTTATTTTTCCATCTTGACGGTTGCTTTCCATTATCAATACACAAGGAGGACAGAAGCCATTGAAAAATAAACAAAATCATTACTCGGGGAATCTCTGCATTCTTATCCTCCTCACCAGACACTTCCAACCGGCTGCCTTCCGGATACTTCAAACCCCCAGCCAGCCACGGCCTACGTCTGGGGAGAGGGAAGAGATGACCACACGGACATCTCTGGAGGGGCCGACCAACCTTTGGTTGTAAAACAAGCCTCTGGACCTTGCCTCATTCTTAGGTGACAAGGTTTCCACCCTCCTCCACTCCCTACAAACAGCTCAGCTCTAGAGGAATTGCAGTCCTATGTTTACTGATGGTTTCTTGAAAACGCGGTCCCATGACACACGTTTTTACAATTTCGTGCCACGCCTGTCCCAGGGTTTACCTGTCCATAGCGCTAATCCCAAGACCGTCTGGTCTCTGGAGTCCTTGAGGCTGAAATCAGGGATGATCTGCAGGTTGTTGGTGGCATGAAGGGCGTTTGCTGAAAGACACATAGAAGAAAAACATCTTTTCTCTGAAGCTGCTGGCTGTTTTTTGTTGTTGTTGTTTTGGTTTTTTACGGAGTGAAAGGAGACAGGCTGGTGTTACAGGGCTAGCTCACTTTCAGTTTAACGGGTTTTTTAAAAACAACAACAACACAACAGCAACCAACACCTGTGATTCAGGTGAGTCTTATAAAGCTCAGTGGTAAAGTACACTACCATCATCGGTACCATTATGATTGTTATTAGTGTTGGCCAGAATCCAACATAATATGAACACTGGTGTAAGCGGAGCAGTGTAACTCGGAGTGGACTAATTAATGTGATTGCAACTGAATTCCTAGTTGGCTCAGCATGCAATTAGAAATCGGCTGGGGGCTTGTTAATTCACAGTTACTTGCCACTCTGAGTTACACCGCTGGCCAATGTTAACAACGATAGGCGTGTATGCTCCGTGTATGCTCCGTCTATAGACTCTCCAGGATTTATGCCACCATATTTTTTCTTTAAAAAACTACCAGCAAAGATGGCAAAGGCTCTTTCCTGCCTAGCACCTTGGACCACAGCCGCCGCCTGTTCAGACTGGACCATACTGGGCTAGATAGAGCCATGATTGAACTTTGCAAAAAGCAGCCATTGCTCTGTTTTTTAACTATCACCTGTCAAGGAATTATGAGAAATGTGCAATAAAATCTAAGACAGGTTATTCATCCCAACATGTCAAGGCTGATTTAGGAGAATACCAAACCAGCCAGAATTAAAAGAACAGATATTCCCGGCCAGTTCTTCCAGTGTAGACTCGTATTCGAAAATGGCGCGCCCTCTCAAGACCCTGCTCAAAAATTTGAACAAAAGTTACCAAACCAGCCAGAATTAAAAGAACAGATATGGTGTATCAGTTCTTCCAGTGTAGACTCATATTCGAAAATGGTGTGCCTTCTCAAGACTTTGAACAAAAATTATTCTGGTGTTTAAAAGACCAGAATGTCAGGGGAGAACAAAGCACTGCAGAAAGACTTGAGAGCAGAATAACGTACATGCTTTTGTTAAAACCAGTCCTGTATAAATCCCTTTTTAATGCCAATTCCTTTGCTCCAGGGTTGGGCAGCTGCTGAGTGCCCAGAGGGCTACGCCATCCCATTCCACCACATAATTAAATCCCTTTTTAACGTCAACTCCTTCATCCCAGGGTTGGACAGCTGCTGAGTGCCCAGAGGGCTACGCCATCCCATTTTCAACCCCCACACAACCTTGGCAAATATTGCACATTCCAAGCAGGTCCAGGAGAAAGGGAGAATGACCATTAAAATACCAATCACACTTCCCTAGAGTCAGGTGGCACAGCGGTTAAACTGCAGTACTGCAGCCAAAACTCTGCTCACCACCTGGGTTCAATCCGAGGTGGCCAGCTTGAGGTTCACTCCGCTTTCCATCCCTTCTGAGGTCAGTAAACTGAGCACCCGGCTTGCTGGGGGTGAGGAGCAAGGTCCAAACTGAATGATTCTATTGTAAACCACCCAGAGAGTGCTTTAAGAACTATGGGGCAGTCTATACACCACACACTGAGCTTTTTTTTCCTTTTAAAAGTCTTTTGGGGAGCACAAAATCCCATTTTTGGCTGAAATCTCTCCATGTGTATGTATGCAGCCTGCAGGCCTGAATGGCAGCCTCATCCACCCCTACCCTCACAGACAGGCTTCCCTGTCTTCCTTCCAGGAATCTTGTTCAAGGTTCCCCTTCCCTAGGCACAAGAAACAGAGACCTCCCTCTACTCTGGCCAAATAAGAAGGTAACTCGTGCACACAGCAGAATGAGCTCTTCCCCTCTGTACCATCTTCCCGCTGACCTCCAAGGTCTTCTCCGCTTTCTTCCTCAGGTCTCAGGTAGCTCTCTCTCCCAAAAAGCCAGTTGTTCTTGTTGTTTTCACTCTTGCACCAAAATTCTTCCCCCTCCCAGCCAGCAATGCCCGCCTCGACCTCCCTTTTTACCTTTTTGCTCCAGTATGACAGACACCACATCGGGGTGGTTGTGGGCGATCGCCATGTGAAGAGGGGTCTGCAGGCTGATGTTCTCTGCCAGGTTGGGGGTCCTCCCCCCCGCCTTGGGCGCAGGCGTGGCTTTCTCCGTCTGGATGTTCGGGTTGGCCCCCTGTTGCAGCAGCTCTGCCGTGAGGTTGGCGAGGCCGTGCCGGCAAGCGGTGTGCAGCGGAGTCTCCCCCTTTTGGCAAGAAACAAGGACGGACAACAAGCAGGATCAGGAGGCTGGAAACCAAGCCCTCTGAGGACAGACTGAAAGAACTGGGCAGGTTTAGCCTTGGGAAAAGAAGACTCAGGGGAGATAGGATAGCACTTCTCAAATACTTGAAAGGGAGTCCTACAGAGGATGGGGAGGATCTGTTCTCCATCATCCCAGAGTGCAGGACATGTCATCATGGGCACACACACACACACACATACAGAGAAGTCCACCTTCCCTATCCTGCAACTTTGAATATGGCACATTTGCTGGAAGGGAGAAAGCAAAATTATTTCCTAGTCCTTCCTGGAAATCCCTGCCTATTTCCTTGTAGCCCTCCATCTAATGGTACATCAGACTGCAGCTCCCAAAAAGCATAGAAGTCCAGGTGTATTTTGGGCGATCAGTCTTTCTGCCACTGAAAGATATACCCTATCACTGCATTTCTGGGAGGAACTCTGGAGGTCACGGCATCCCTTCCACCGGCTGCAACGACCAGCTCTTCATGCCGGATCTGGCCTTGTTTTGCTCGACGCACCATTTCTTTTTCTCCACTTACCCATTTATTCCTGTGGTTCACTTTGGCCCCGTGCGTGGCCAGGAAGAGGGCGGCCGCCTCATTTCCTGCTCCGGCGGCTCTCTGAAGCAAACAGTTCCCTAGAAACCAACGAGAGAGTAAAAGCAGGAGACCGTTAGGGCAGGAGGTGAGGTTTCAACCCAGACATCCCGACCAGCTACAACGCAACACGATGGACGTCACAACTTTGAGACAGCCCTTCCTGCTTCCGATGAAAGCTGAGATTCTGGAGAATTTTAGTAAGATTGGCATGGTGGACTGGGGAGGGAGCTAGCTGCCCAGTCTATCAGTATAAGGTCTCAGGGGTGAAAAGTACTAATTTCACATTTCAGTAGCACAACCTATTTGAAAAGATGGCTTCCTGCTGCCTTTCTTTCTGTCTCAGAGCAGGGGCGCTAACAGTCAATAAGTATAACCCAGGGATTTGATTAACTCTGCCCATTAAAGGTGTGATACGATAGGTGGGTGGGAGTTTAACTAATGGAAGGATTTTGATCTGTTTTATCTGACTGTGGCATTCTGTTTCATGTATGCCTTTTAATTAAAATATTTTTACCCCACCTTTCTCCTTCAAAGGACCCCACTCCTTTAGGAATATTGGACTGCTTTAATCGGCTGCCGTTAGGAATTGATCTTTCGGCACTTTGCTGACATTTTTAATGTTCTCCAATCTTATCTGCTCTGGGTGTTTTATTCAACCTGAAAGATGGAAACTAAGTCATTAGCAGGGGCAGATGGAGGCTGATTAAAGGCTTCCCTGTGTGATTCTAGGGTTCATCTAGCTCATATGCAACATGGCAAAGTCACACAGACCTCCAAATCGCCAAAGGGAGTCTTTAAAACAGGGGCAACCTGACGCTGCTGATTGCATCATCCTCACAGTTCAGATGGCCACTACGCTCAAACCAGCACCGGAGGAACAATTTAAAACAACTGCCTTCAAACCACCAGTGACGTACAAGACCCAGCCCTTTCCGTGAGTGTCCTCCATCTGGGACTTAACTTGCATGTTACAGACTGGAGACGGGCACCGCTGGTTCGTATAAATTCATTTACTGGTCAAATAGGTTAAATCCAAAGCCCCGCCTCCTTGGCAAGCACCCACTCGGGAGGCAGTGTCCCAAATCGACTGCCCCACCTCCTCCAGGTGCTGCCTCTCGAGTGAGCACCCGCCAGAGGCAGGACGTCAAAGCACCAAACATCTGTCTGGCCGCTCAGTGAACCGGCATGAACGGACGAACCGGCGGTTCGTGTCCATCTCTGTTACAGACACAATTCCGCGCCAGTACCACTGATGACAGAGCCAACCTCTCTGATGGTTTCACACGGGCCTGGCCTTCTTAGACAACACACTGTGTCGAGAGAGAAAAAGGCAGCTGCTTGCAATGGATGCCAGACAGAACTGGTATTTTTGCCCCGCCAAGAGGACAACAGAAACAAACTAGTTGCTCTTATGTTTCCCATCAGGGCCCCAACCCCTAGGCAGCACTGTCTTCTTCTCTCACCAGTCACAGTGTCCGGGGCATCCGTATTGCTTCCTCGCTGGATCAGTCTGGCGGCGAAGCTATTCTCGTCAAAGGAGGTGCCGTTCTCCACCGGGACGTCTTCAAAGGGGTTGACGGAGGGGTCGGAAGACACCGTGATATACTGGACGGCGAGCCAGAGAGCCGTGCTTCCCTCGTGGTCCTTCAGTTCCAAATCAAGCCTAGCAAAGGGCAAGCACAACGTCTGACACCCCCACCACCACAACCACGCACCCGTCGGAGTCAGGACTTCATTCCGGGGCAGTGCAAACCAAGCCCCGTTGGCATTCGGCAATTCACAGGCCTTTTCTCGTCTACTGCAGACCACTTTACGTGGCGCTGCGTTGGAGGATGAGCCAGATTTGCCACTAACGCAATATGCTCGACGGGTGGGCAGGAACACGCTACAGAAATACTTTACATTTATTTGCTTGTTTGTTTTATTTATAGGCCGCTGGTAAGAGGACCCAAAACGGCGCACAAAATGAAAAGAATAGAATTAAAAATGCAAGTTAAACATAAAAAAAAAATCAATTAAACTGTAGGCTAATTAAAATACGATTGAATAATTAAAAGCGAGCAAACATTAAAAGCGATCTTAACTTTAAAAAGATATTCAGGGACGCAATCGTGACTGTTAAAAGCCTGCCTGAAAAGATGGGTCTTCAGCTGTCAGCGGAGGGAGGGAAGAGAGAAGGGCGGCCTGACCTTTGAGAGCCTCCCATCACCTGGAAACAGCCACAGAGAATGCCCTCTTCCTGTGTCCCCATCAGCCGTGCCTTATATGGCACCATTTCTGGAAGAACTGCACTGGTAGGCCAACCCTACACATCTGGTCTGGGTTCAAGATGTTGACAATGGCTTTCAAAACCTTAAATGAGTTGGGATCTAGATGTTTGAGGGAAGGGCTCTTCCAGAAGCATTTGCCTGCTTAGCCATTAAGACCTGCGGGAGCATTCCATGACTCACCCATTAAGAGCACGAAACTACATGGAAAAGCAAGACAGGGTTTCCCCTGGTGTAACATCCAGGCTGTTGAATGCTCTCACCCGGAAGGCCCAAATGGTGCCAATCCCCTCTTTTGTTTCATTGTTAAGCTACATTTTTCCAGTCCATCACTTTGCAATTTCATTTTTGCTTCCTTTGAACTGTTAACTCTATTCCACAGTGGATTTAAAGTGCTTTAAATTATTTTAAAACATTTGACTTGTCTTTATTATTATTATTTTTAATCATTCTATTACAGGTTTACTTTATCCGAGATCGGTCAACACAGGATGGTTTAGAAATATTTAAAATAAATAAATACAGTGGCCATTCTGCCACTACAAACATGTCAAATTGTGCCCGATTCTGGAAGCTAAGCAGGATCAGCCCTTCTTGGTACTCGGATGGGAGACTACCATGGAAGATCAAAGGTTGTGTTACATTCTGGCCATGACAGACACACATACACACAAAAGTGTCTGCTGCCAAGGAAATAGTGGCACAACTGAAAGTTTAGAATATAACAACCTTTCATCAAAACTACCCATTACGTCACAAAACCCTGGTTAAAATTCAAGAAGACCGCAATCCCTACAAAATGGTCTCAGAGGGCACCTCACCCTGTGATTTCAAATACCAAATAGGATAGACAAACGTCACATTTCTCCAGCTTCAAAACACTCACTGTTTGCACTGGAGCAGCTGGCTGAACACCTGGTCGTTCCTCACAAGAATGGAGGCATGCAAAGGCGTCCTAAGGAGGAAAATAAGAGTCAGGACAGTCCCATTAGGGTTCAAACTGTGCCACAGGCCTGATGCTAAGAACCCCGTTAGCAAGCCTTGGCCCTTTACAAAAAAGGTGGACTCTACTTCTAGGAGTGGCAATTTTGCACAGAACAGTGCCATAAGGCCCCTCGGAACCTGCCTTCCCAACAAAACTAAAGAAACTGGTTGCAGACGTCCTTCAAGGTCTAACGCTGGTTCCCCCGCCTTGGACCCACTGACTTTGCCAATCGCCCCTCCGTAGGGCAGCTTCACCTCTTTAAGTAATCCACAGAAATAACAAGGCTAAGAAGCCACACAGGAAGATGCCTCCCCCACCCCATACGGCTGCCGACAGTCACCTTCCTTTGCTGTCCTGCATGTTCGGATTGGCCCCTGCCTTCAAGAGGGCCTCCGCAATCTGCGCCATCTCGGCCATGATGTCCGGTTTGTGCTTCTTCGGGCTGTAGGATGCGACAATGTGCAGGGGGGTCTCCTGGTCTCCCAAAGTGGCCGCGTTCACCCGGGCACCGTGTTTGATGAGGAAATTAGCAGCAAATGTATCACCTTTTGGTAAAGGGAAAGAAGGGGTTACAAGAAAATTACACAGTGGAAATGGTTTTGAAGGCGGCGGCGGGGGGAGGGGAACTAAACTCACCCTCATGGACATAGTTTCTTACTTTTCTTGCAGACATCTAACAAGTTGCATCTAAATTCCTCCTTGGTCCTCCTACACATAAGACTCACATTTTGGAATGAAAACAAGTACAGTACAAGGTCACGTGAACTAAGTGTAGTTTTTTTGGCTCAGCGTTTGCAGTATCCTCACACGATAAAAGTGGGAGAGCAGCTGAGACATGGCATTTTCTAGTGTTGATCATGTCTTTGTTTAATGCGAATGCTAATGTCAGAACCTCTTAACAGACCAGAACTGTGCTACTGCCCTATTCTGGGGGACAAATTCCGAACCCTGTCCAACGACGCCTTCAATATGGTTGATGAAGAGAAACACAAACCAGCTTCTAACTGGCAATAAGAGATCCTATTTTTTTTCCACGAAGATACGTAGGGTTTCTTCTCAAGATAAACCCTCCTAAAACAGCAAATGATTGTGTGGCTTTCTGAACCCCTTGGAGGCTCGGCACATTTAGGTGGTCCTACGGAGGAGGGACAGGATTTCTTCCTGATCATCCCAGTCTGCAGGATATGTAACAAGAGGAGGGACAGGATTTCTTCTTGATCATCCCAGTCTGCAGGACATGTAACCATGGGATCAAGCTACAAGAAGCCAAATTTAGGCTGAGTATCAGGACAAACTTTTTAACTGTTAGAGCAGTACGACCATGGAGCCCATGACCTCAGGAACGTGGTGAGCACTCCAACCCTGGAGGTACTCAAGAGAAAACTGGACAGCCCTCTGTCTGATCGGCTTTGACTTGGATTCCTGCCTTGAGCGGGGGGGTGGGGGTGGGCTCAATGGCCTTAGAGGTCCCTTCCAAATCCACTATTCTAGGATTCTATGAGTAGCGAAAGAAACAACAAGGAGGATTCTAAACCTGCACGCCTGCTGCTGTCCAGGGGATACGACGCTGATCTGCTCAGAGAACAGGGCTGCGCCTCTGAGCCTATAACAATTTATCTTCCCTAGAGGGCATGGATGTCTCTTTGTCTTTAATGCCTCCCCAATTTATTGATAACCTGCAAGTCACAAACCTTCATCGTCCACACCTTTAGATTACGTTTCTTTTCTCCAAGCCCAAGGAATGACAGAATAGAAACTCCCAGGTATTGTTTTGCATTTGCTAAATGAAACAAGGGCAGACAACAGGCCCTGCGCTCTGTTCTTGCTGGAGAAAGACATTAACTCAAGATGTTCTGTTCTCCTGCTCCCTGGACATCACTGCCATGGCAACCGATTCCTATCTGACTGTACGAATCCTCAAGATGATCCCTGCCCTCGCGCTAAAAATGTCAGAATAAACCAAACCTCTCGAAAGCTGGGCAGGCCACCTGGTGTGTTGCATCTGTCGCAAGGCCAGCTTCAGAAATGCCAATCTAATATTTAATATTAGCCTTGCTGCTCTCCAACTTGGTCCAGAGAAGCTGGTTGGGATAAGAACAACACACAGCAATCTGATTAAAGGCGCAAAGCCTTCTGTCAGGTTAGAGGGACCGAGTGGTAAATAAACATAACCCTGTGTTTGCTGCAGAGGTTCAAAAGTGGTAGGAGGTGGGGAGATAGGTTGAGGAGGGAAGCATCGAGGAGGAGGAGGCAATGAATCCAGTTGCCACTTTCCCACCAAACAAACGCCAGATGGTGGCAGAATGGGTGGGGTGTGCATGGGAGACACAACGCATCACCGTGATTTTTGACTTGTGTGATAAATCAGGCAGAGTTTCACACTTCCCAGGACTCTAGTTCTCTTATTGTTTTATTTTACTTATTTATGAGCACAACGGTGTAAAGTGCAGCCACGAATTGCTGCCAATTAATGAGTCACTCCTCTCATCCACACTAGATGCAACTGGCACAGAACAAGAGACATAAGCGGCCACTTGCTAACCAGTGGCAATTCACTGCTACCATTTATGGTACGGCCCTTAACACTGGGCAAACTGACTGTATTCTAGTCACAGTTCTTTTGAGCTGCCTGCTAAATAAAGAGCGTAGTGGAGTTTGCTAAAAAGGTAAGATACAAGACTACATCACAAGGACTAGAGAAGCAGAATATATAACCAGCAGGGGAGAATAAACTGTTTCAGCAGAGAGAACTAAATTCAAACCAGCAGCAAGACAGAAACAAGGAAGGTGTCGAAATGCTTAAGGCCAGCACAACAATGAGCATGGCGAGTGGAAGCGTTGCAGCCGTCCTCCGAATTGGGGGAAGGCAGTGGCTAGTGTGGATCCCCACATCATTCCTATTTGCCGCATCAGGAGTAGAAGACAGGTTATGACAGGGTTGGGCCAAGTGAGGTTGCCCGGATGTTACTCAAGTGAAACTCCCGTCAGCCCTAGCCAAGACAGGCTATGGTGAGGGATACTGGGAGGTGCCATCCAAGAACGCCCGCGGTCAGGACTTCCAACTTTGAGTCCTTGGACTGCAACTTCCAGAAGCCTTCACCACTAGCTGTGCTGGCCAGGATTTCTGGGAGTTGTAGTCCAAGACCATCTGGGGAACCCAAGGTTGGGAAGCACCGATCTAGAGGGTTACTCTGCACATGTCACCTTAAAAAAAATCCAATGGAAGGGAAGCTCTGCCTTCAATGACATATAATTTGCCAAGAACAAGCAAGGAGTTCATCAGATCATGTACACACTACCCTAGTTACTTGACCATTTGGCAATTTAAAAGGCTGTTAGCTATGGAACCGAGATGTTTTCACCAGCCCTGCGCAGAAACGGGGTGTGTGTCTTTGTTGGGGGTGGGGGACTCTGGGACTCTACGTACGTACCTCTTTTAATCGCTTTATGCAGCAAGCTCCACCCTTTCTTGTCTACCATGTCAATATCTGCCTTGTGATTAACCAAAGTGGTGGCGATGCTTTCCAGTTTCCCGGAGAGGGCTAAGTCTAAAGCAAGGTCTCCGTTTTGATCCAGTTCGTTCAACTTCCCCGGCAGCTGGAGAAACAGGATTAAAGGACAGCTGTTGGGCGGTGTGGCAACGGCAGCAGCCCGTCGGTAGTGGGCAGACACAGCCTGGATTCCATTATCTGATCTACATTTATCGTGGGCTACAGAGGAAAGATATACAACGGGATGTCCTTTTGGGGCTGCTGCTCAGTAATCACAAAGGACATCCTCTGTGAGCAAAATGACCCACAAGCAAATCTAGGCAGAGATTAGATTAGAAGAGCCATTGATTAAGAACCATGAAACATTATGACCTGTGAGGAACAATAGAGAGAACTGAATAGGAAGTATCCATGTCTCAATCACAGCCTTGAAAAGTTAACTTGGTGGGTTACAACTCCCTGAATCGGTGATCAGGAATCAACGATGCTGACCAATGATTCTTGGCCTTTTTTCAATTCATACACTGCTAGATGTGGAAGACAACTCCCGGGCCACAGAGAGGAGTTCAAACGCAGATATGGAAAACACAATCGTGCACTTCACAGTGATTGAAATTATGTTTGTGCCTTTTTTTAAAAAAAATGGATGTTTGCATTTCTCATTTCTGAGGCTGCTCAGGACACATAGGGTCCTATCTCGAAAAGGCCATCCTCGTGCAGATGGGGAGAGGCGGTGTATCGTACCTGCGAGTCCATCTCAATCAGGTAGAGGAACACGACGTCTTCTCTCTCCACTTTAATAGCTTTGTGTAAAGGGAACTCCGTTTTCGATTTGATCATTTTATACAAGAGCTGAGCGCTCATGCTGCTGAAGTCTTCTTTCCTCAGGTCGTCCTGAAAAGAACCAGACCTTAAAGGGGTTGATCCCAAGACAGTTGCCCTTTAGATCACACGTCTAAGTAAATGCTCCAGTGAATGACGGAGGCTGGAATCCAACTGAGACCTCTATAAATAAAATGTGGCAAGTCGTGGTGGCAACTTGGTACCCATGAACAAGGTGACAGTTGCATTCTTGGCCTGCGACCCATTGCGCACACCTGAGAAGGTAACCAACACCTCTTTGTTTAGTTAAAAAAAGGGGGGGGGAGTTGTTGTGGTACCTTAAAGACTAACTTAATGTGAGATTTCATGGACTTGTCCACAAAGCAAACAAACACCTTCTTTTAGGTGAGAAAATGATCAAAGCAGCAAGTCTGTGAAGCCAAAATTTATTTTCCCCGACACAGAAGTTTTGCACATGCCAGGTGGTTTTGCTCTGACTTCTGAGAGCACGACCAGCCTACGATTCTCTGGCTGGATGATGCTAAACTGGGGCTATCTAGGGCAGGGGCGGGCCCCATGGGGTCCCCTCGGGGCCCCCTCCAGTCTCCCCTACTTCCTCTATAAATGGAACAAGGGGGTACGACAAAATGGAAAAATGCACCCTCAGAAACCTGCAGGGGGTGCTACTCTCTTGCAGAACGAGACGAGACATACACCACCACTTCTAACCGGCCTTGGTTTGGGTCAGAAAACACATTTTTCTGAAAACAGGAAGTGACATGATAGTTCTGAAGGAGCAGAAGAGAAGTAGGCTGAGGGGGATCTTAAGGGGTGCAGGAAAATGGCTTCCACACCCGACCTGGTTGCCCACCCGGCAGTTAAAGCCTGAAACCGTTCTTCCTCCAAGGAAAAGCAAACACGCAGAGCTCCCAGTCCTGTTTCAGATTTTACACAGCGCTCCTGCGACTTGAACTTGAGCCAAAGCTATGGGTTGGAACGAAGCACGGCTGACCTTCAAACATGCCTCCCTCTTGAAACACGCCACGTTCCTATCGTTCAGCGCTTACCCAGTGGCTAGCAATGATCTCGGCGCAGTAGTTCATCAAAGTGCTGGCGTTCAGCTCCTCGGCTGTTTGGTAGAAGCGAATGCAGTTCCTCACGTTGACAAGGGACATGACTCCCTTTTCACACCTAGCAAGACAGATGTGGAAAAGAGGACCTGGGGTCAGTGTGGGCGGGAGGGAGGGAGGGGGAATCTGGATGAGATCCCTTCCATTACTGGCAAGAGACAAAGAGAAAGAGAGATTTGGGCTGCGAGGGGCTTTGACTACAGTTCCCAGAATCACTTAGTCAATATGATCCCCTGAGGACACACCACGTTAAACCGGCAATCTTCTTGAATTGGAACCAAGAACCTCTCACAAACTACAACAGAAGCTCTTATACTTACGCTATCAAGCCTCCCATCTGATTTAAAGAGAAACATTTTTTATATATAAGCTACCAACGTCGTCCTTTTCGAATTTACAATCGGAGCACTGTAAGCTATTTAAAACAAATATCATATACCTAAAATGCCTGTTTTTGGGGACAGTCTGGTCATACATTAGGGCTTAAAAGATCCTGAGGGCAAAGAGATTCCTCACAGCACTGCAGCCCGAGTCTTTATCACAAAGTGAAGAGCTTTAAAGAGCCCACTTTGATTTTGTGGTGTCCCGAGACCATAACTTGCTGGAGGAAGAGGGACTGAAGAGACCATCCAGCGGCCCAGAGGTCCCCAACCTGGGGTCACCCACGTGTTCTTGGACTGCAACTCCCAGAAGCCTTCACTACTAGCTATGTCAGTTGAGGTTTCTAAGAGCTCAAAGAGTTCAAAGACCATCTGGCAAACCAAGGTTGGGAAACAAGAAGAGGGACTGAAGAGACCATCCAGCGGCCCAGAGGTCCCCAACCTGGGGTCACCCACGTGTTCTTGGACTGCAACTCCCAGACGTCTTCACTACTAGCTGTGCCAGTTGAGGTTTCCAAGAGCTGCTGTTCAAAGACCATCTGGCAACCCGAGGTTGGGAAACAAGGATCTGGAGGGTTATTTGCACACGTCACATTAAGAAATTCAATGGGATTGAAGTTCTGCCCTCAATGATGTATGGTTTGCCAAGAAGGTCCAAGGTTGGGAACCGCTGATCTAGTCAACCCCTAGATATTGTTTTCTTCCAAGCTACTTCTCTCTCTCTCTCTCTCACGCGCACACACACGCACACGCACACACACACACACACAGCAAGACACAAGAGAATAAAATGTGCCAACAAAGCCAATGCTTTTTTTGTCATGAAGGCATTTGGCACCAAGGAACCATAATTTGCATTGGGGACTGGCTAATGACGATACAGATGCAACAGCTTCATTCAAAGGCTTGCCTTTCTCGGAGGAGCTGCAGCTGAAACCTGTTGGCTAGTTTCATCAGCTCTGTCAGGAACACATCATCCTCCCTCAGCTCCAGCTCATCGGTGTAGATCCAGCGCAGCATAGCCATGGTCACCTCAGGGTCAGCATCTGGCAGAACGGCATGAGATCTTTTATTCTCATTTGGCTTTGCAACAGCCAGGGTGACTTTGAGGGGGGGGGTCCAACACAGTGATAGTACACAGGTCAAATCCTGCCCTGGCCGCAGCACCCAACCACTTTCAACTCTCAGCAACAGGACCAGGAAAGGCTAGATTCTGGGACTGTGCCAATGCCGTTTTTGATAGGGATGCCTCCCTAATTAAAGATTTCTTGACACTTGACCCTAAGCGGTGGTGAAAGATGATGCACCATCCCCTCCTGTTGTTGTGAATCTTCCAAAAGCAAGAACCAGGTGGGGCTTGGGAACGTGGGCTTTGGGACCGAGTCATGGGGATCTGTTTATAAGGTTGCCGTGCGGCGCATGCTGGCTGCGCGCCCACCCCTAGAAAGAGGAGCTGAGTAACTCAGGCACTAATATTAGAAGGGGTCACAGGGCCCCAGAAACGCCAGGGACAAGACACCAATAACGTGGCGCTGCCGGACGGGCATTAACACCTCACCCACTTAAGCCTGCCAAAGGAACAGCAAAGGTCATAAGTACACATATTCTGGAACCCCTTCTTCCCATCATCATGTTTCAACAAGAGGAATGGGGCTTCCTTTGACCTAAACTAATCCATGACCTCTTATATTTATTTATTAGATTTATACACCACCCATCTAGAACATGTCTACTCTGGGCAGCTTACATATAATAAGAATAAACTGAGATAAAATCTCATGCCAACAGAGGTTAAACTATCAGACTAAGAACAGAGGAAGAGCTGGTTCAAATTTGCTCCTCAGTTGGAAAGCACAGCTTGCATCAGCCATTTAATATATATATATATGCTGGAGCTGCAACAGTTCCCTTCAAGGAATTACTACAGAGAGACCCTTTGGACAAAGCCAGCGCTGCCCTCCCACAATACAAAAGGAATCATCGGAGCCGTTTTAAGACAGCTTTGTCTCCTGGCCTGTGTCAGGCTGCCATTCAAGAAAGATGAACAGACCTCCACACTTAACATCCGCATCATTAAAATGAAAGAAGGCTGGACCGTTGATTTAAGCAGCGTTAAACGCTGAGCTTTCAAAGCCCTGTTAGCATGTTTTGAAGACAAAGGCTTCATAATTAATGGATCAAGCGTCTCTTTAGGCAGGCAGGGTCCCTCCTCCCTCCCGAAGCAGATTTCCATTTTTGCATGGCTCTTCAAGACAAAGAAAGCATCTCTCCCCACCACCACCGCCCGTCTGCCTTCCCTCTTCCTTCCTCAGCACTCATACATGCGCCCCGCGTGCATGCAACTGCCCATCAGAAACCAACCTGACAGATCTAGCTCTTCCGTTGACACCAGGTTGGCCAGACTCCAAGCCTCGCTGCGGGCTGCCAATACGAATTTGTGAGCATGGATGTGCTTGTCTCCAACCTTTATCTTCAGGTCACTGGAAAAAGAGAAGAGACGCACAAACACACCTGTGCTTAAGATGACTTTGTGAACTGGGTGTAAACGCAGTGGAAATCCAAGAGGATATTCTATCTTGGAGACTGTTTGGAAACCAATTCCAGGCCTTGGTAGAAGGTAACATCAAAGTCCATTTGCTATGACTCCCAAGCACCCGCAAACATTTTGTGGGTGCTTGGAATGAATCCTTTGAGGTCTATCCTGCAGGAAAATTTAGTATGTATTTCCGCTCTGTCAAAATGGAGGGTAAACAGCCTCTGGCTTCTACAAAACTGGGTTAGATTGCATTTCACTTGACATTCATTCAGTCTTGGAATTCTGTTTATCCATGTTCAGAAATAACCTAGTGATTTACATATCTGGATGCATATGATTTACAAACCTTCTCTAGGCAATACACCTGAATGTTCAGATATCTCTTTAAGGCACTTTATCGATTTTTAAACTAAGTTCAATGACTTTTTTTCTGCAACGTTCTTCCGCAAGCCTGCAAGCAAGTAACATAATACTATGGAGGGAGAGCGACCAAGTCATTAAACAAAGGTGCAGCTTTCCTAAACTATACTCAGTAAGGAACAAGAGGGAAGTATAGAATTTTTAGGGGTACGTAATTAGAAACTAAAGCTCACCTACCACTTAAGGATATATGATGTTTCTTTATACTGTCCAGTCATTGAGCCATTTAGTCCAGTGGTCCTCAACCTTGGGTAAATCAGGTGTTCTTGGACTACAACTCCCAGAAGCCTTCACCACAAGCCGTGATGACTGGGGCTTCTGGGAAATGCAGTCTAAGAACACTGAGCTAATCCAATATTGTCAGCTCTCCGGGGTTTCAGGCAAGATTGTTTGGTAGCTCTTCCCAAAAATGCTGAATACTGCAAAGGATGTGTGCTACCACAGAACTACAGTACAGAACTTCCCCAATAAAACACCGGATGTTATCTGTAGATCTCCCATCTGAATATTAACCAGGTCTGGCTTGTCTTCAGTGTCTGAAACCAGAAGCACTCAGGATGATGTGATGGTACAGGGAGAGCCACACATGTGGGCAAGATGGCAAAGTTTTAAAAGGCAGAGGCCAGGCTCAGATGTTATGACCAGATTATGCTCATTCAACTGATTTAATTCTATTAAATCCCAAGAGCCTAACATTAATAGCATTTATTTAACTGAGAGATAGCACACCAACATTCACTAAAAGCGAGACAACGTGCCATTATTTCCTTTGGCTGAACCACTGTCTTTCAGAGGAAGCTTCTTACCTGTATTGTTCTTGTTCATACAGCTCTGCGACGATGGAAAGTAGTCGGCTGATGAAGGAATCGCTGGAGTTCTCTTTGTTCGACTGAGCGGCAAGGAGAGCGCATTTCCTCTCTGTTTCCGTGAGCTTCTTCTGCAACTTGACATACTCCTGACGAAGAAGCATCAGGTGTTTCTCCAGTTTGGCCACCTCCTCTGCAAAGACAAGGAGCCTCCATTCGAAAGGTTCACAACTGAGTAACGCAGCACTTTTTCCATAGGGAGAAGGCCTCCCCTTCAGTCTTCCCACCATGTAAAGGTCGACTCAGCCATGAGAGCTTGGAAAGACCCTGGAAAGCAACTGGAGGAGGTGGCCTCAACCTTTCTCAAAGATGGGGGAAGTGTGTCTTTCCAGATGTTATTATTCACCACATTTCCCACCCTTGACTTTAAAAGATGCACAGGTAAAGGCTCCCCTTGACATTTAGTCCAGTCATGTCTGATTCTAGGACACGGTGCTCATCCCCATCTCTAAGCCATAGAACCAGCGTTTGTCCGTAGACAGTTTCTGTGGTCACAAGGCTAGCGCAACTAGACACGGAATGCAGTTATCTTATCTCCTTGCATTTAGATATGCTTTCAAACGGCTAGGTTGGCAGAAGCTGGGATGAGTGACAGGAGCTCCCTCCATTGCATGGATTCGATCTTATGACAGCTGGTCTTCTGACCTTGCAGCCCAGAGGATTCTGCGTTTTAACCCGCAGCGCCACCCCGCCCCTTCTAAAGATGCAGAGTCCTTGATAAATCAGTATCAAGCTGCTTCCAAACAGGCAGGAAGTAAATCAAGTGAATCCATCATACATATGATTTGGGGTTTGTTTCTGCCAGGAGATGATGCTTGGAACAAGCTCCCGTCACCTGGGGTTCTCTGGATGTTTTCTTAGGAGTTAACTATTCAATACAGTCTGACCTTTTTCTGAATAAACATGCATGGACTTCCTTCTATTGCTCATCTGCACATCGTCTCCCAAGTGTGACTAAAGGACCACCACTGAAGAAAACGTTTTGCCAGCAGGGCTGTTAAGCCTTGAGATAAAAAGTAAGAACTAAAACAAGGCGAAGAGGTCTTAAGATGCAGAGTTCTGTCACTGACACACTGCCAAACCTCTCCTGAAAATCTCCAAGAGGGAACTCTTTTCAGGCCGGCGGCCAAATTCAAACCCGCAGAAGCTCCCAAGGGGAGTCCCATTCAAGGCACAAGGCAGTGCCAAAGTCAAAACAGAGGGCAAAAATACAGGTGCAGTTCAGCTTAAAGCTTTTAACTCTCAGTAATGAAAACTTGAGAGGCATTTCAAGCAGAAAAAAACCCCCCACATCAAGGTCTATAAACCGAATATATCACAGAGAAACTGGGATGACTATATGGGGTGACCGAGGGTCCTTCTTCATGTGCAAACACCCGAGACATTTACCACTAAAGCAAGGAGCAAGGGGAGCCTTTTTAAATTTTATATTTATTTATTTGTTACGTCAATAAACTGCCTTTCCCCTTATCAGCTCAAGGCAGTGTAATGGTCCTCCTCCTCCCCACAAACCCATGAGGGAGGTTCAGATAAGGATCCAGAGTCCTGCAAGGAATGTCACGCTGTGTTGGGGATTTGAATCCAGGTTTCTCTGCTCTTAATTACAAAGCCACACTGGAAAGCATTTGCCCTCAAGGATAAGTCAAGCTTAGGAGGACTAAAGGGGTCCTGAAGCTCTTTTAGTTTCTGGCCTCATGGCCTAAGAGTGAAGCAGTGGGGGAAAATGTCTCTTTTTTCCTTTCCTCAAATCAGGTCGTTGCAAAGACTGTTTCCCACTTTGGCCTAGGATTGCAAGTCCCGCTTCTGCTCTCTGGACACGAGACAGAGACCAGTGGAGGTACACTGCTCTCTGGACACGAGACAGAGACCAGCGGAGGTACAAGGTTCGTGGGCTAGAATAAACAGCCTGGCGAGAACCAGTCCCCAGCAGTCAATCAAAGCCATACATCACATCACACGTATTTTTCAGAAACTAAGTAACTTTGGAGAGACAGGGACCCACAGCATGACATTACAGCGAGGGTATGAGGGCTCTGGGGTGCTTCTTCACACCCCCAAAACCCCAGGGACAGAACGGCATTGAGGGTACAAGCTACCTGCAGAGTCAAATGCTTGTCTGAATACACCCAGAGTGAAATGTGACCACCAGGTTCACCGAGGATCCTCTACAGTGGTCCCCAACCTTGGGCCTCCAGATGTTCTTGGACTACAACTCCCAGAAGCCTTCACCACCACCTCTACTGGCCAGGATTTTTGGGAGCTGTACCTGCAGAGTCAAATGCTTGTCTGAATATACCCAGAGTGAAATGTGTCCACCAGGTTCACTGAGGATCCTCAAGACAGGAGGCATCTATACTGCCCATAGGGGAAGGCACTGAAGAACATCTGGAGGCCCGAGGTTGGAGGCCCCTGCTCTGGAAGGCAGGAGGCATCTATACTGCCCATATTGTTGGGGAAGGCATTGTGTAGAACCAAGCAGGGGGGAATCTTTCCATGCACAAAGCCCTGACAGGAGCGACTGACACTGCCCCAGCTATTATATAATATGAAGGTTTTTAAGGTGCCACAGGATCCTTGGCTGGGCTTGCATTTCACTAGCACAGCTTCCCCTCCTGAAAATGGTCAAGAAAGCAATTTCTTATGGAAGGACCAAATCTCTGTGGTGGGACACAGGCTTTGTGCATGCAGCTGAATCTCTGATGGCCCGTTATTCTCCTGAGGGCACGTTAAGGAAAATGTGCTTAAACCATTTTACCATTTAAGGTTTAGCTTCCGCAGTTCTGCTGGCGACGGAGTCTGAAGGCCATACTGTCTTTTGGAAAATCACCGGGCCCCTTAAACTCAAAAGTCAGGGGATGCTTTTCAAGGCTGTGCCAAAATTTGCTGGGCCAAAAGATTCCCATTCTGATTTCATATGGGTTGCAAATACAACGAACTGGTAATATATCAAGTAGCACTAAACTAGTGAAGAAATAAGACACAATACTGTTCTTTATGAATCTAGTCCTAGACCTCAAGAACATTTATTCTATGTTCCTACCTGGGAGATGAGACCACAGAATTTTATCTTATGAAGACAAATATGAAAAACTACACTACACAAACAAGGAATGGATAATACAGAGTTTCAGATGCTCTTAGAGGCTACTCACGACTGGATACACTGCTTAAGGCTAATGGGAGTTGTAGTTCAACATGGTATGGAGATTCACACTTTGCACAAGACCAGCTACAACTCCCAAGCCACCATGAGCACTCATTCTGAGATGTCCACTCCAGTAACTTGATTCCAATAACTCAACAACTCAATCATTTAAGTTGTCTTTAAAAATGACTGTTTTTAATATAGGGTATTATTATAATGTCGCCTATTTTTAATGGTTTTAAAGTTTTAATATTGTTGTACGCCGCTCATAGACCACTGGTAATGGCGCGGCTAAAACAATCTTATAAATAAATAAATAAAAAGAAGACAGTGACTCCGCAGAACCCAGGAACCTGAGCAAGAGGGAGAGAACTTGGAGGGCTCCCAATGGTTGTTGGACAGCATCTTATTGGCCCTGATCAGCTATGGGGGATTATGGAGGTTGTAGTCTAACAACAACAGGTTGCCCACTCCTGTTGTAGATCAGCATTACCACCCAGTGTCAAGACTAATCGTGGCACATTGATCTGATGCTGAGATGTCCAAGACTTTTTATGAGGATACAAACTCCACAGCTATTAAGACAGCAAAAGACAGAGGTATCGATCCATGGACTTCCACTGAATAATGCAAAGAGTTCATCGCACATGTAATGCTTTTATCTACAGCAGTGGGATGATGCGAAGCATTTATTTCTCTGCATACAGCTAGGACGCAGACTGAGAATATTTATTCAAACAGCGGAGTAAGTGGATATTTAGAGGTTTCAGAGAGGAATAAATATGGAAACACGACACCTCTCAGGTTCTCACTTTCGTCCTGACACGGACAAGCCTGTTTTCTCCATCTCCAGGAACCATCAAAGATCAAATGTTGAAACTGACCTCCACGTGGTTTAGTTTCATTCTGCACAGCAAGTGGAATACTGTGGCCTGCTGAGGGAGTGTCACTGACAGAATTACCTTTGTTGTTGTTTTTGTTACTGCGGTCAAGTCACCTCTGGCCTATGGGGACCCTCACGAATCAGCAACCTCCACCTTGTCCTGTCCTCCACCCCCCTGCACAGCTCTTGTAGACTCCAGGCTTTGGCTTCCTTAAAGGAGTCATTCCATCTCGTATCTGGCCTTCCTCATTTCCTGCTGCGTCCTCCTCCCCCCTCCCACTTTTCCAGCTTTATTGCCTTTTCCACTGCATCCCGCCTTCTCCTGATGTGCCCAAAATAGGACAGCCTCAGCTTCAACATTTTTGTTTTCAGAGATAGTTTGGGCTTGATTTGCTCCTGGACACACCTTTTGGGTCCTACCTTTACCAATTACCCTGAGTGATGTTAATCTATCCGGCTTCAATCCAATATGATGTTGTAGTCTGTACGACAAAAGCTCACAACTGCACTCTGTGTAACTCTGGTTCCTAAATGCACACCACCATTCCATCCCCACCACACACTAGCGTTCCTCTAAACCACTGGTTCTTAACCTTGGGTTACTCAGGAGTTTTGGACTGCAACTCCCAGAAGCCTTCGCCACCAACTGTGCTGGCTGGGGTTTCTGGGAGTTGCACTTCAAAAACATCCGAGTAACAAAGGTTAAGAACCACTGCTCTAAACCACTGGAGGTTCAGCTCATACTCTCACACCCTGGGAGGCCTTAACCAGCAACAGTATCCAGGCTAATCTCCTGATGGAGAAGTTGGCACTTAAGTGGTTTTGGTAGAAAGCTAGAATACAGTATCAAGTTTCCATAGAGCTTTTTTGGAAAATCCAATCGTGCTTGTTTTTGCTAGTTTTAACTTACAACATTATCCTGCAATTGTATTATACCTGTATAAAATAAATAAATAAATATATATTATCCTCCTGCTCCTGGGCTGTGGAACAAACCTTCCCAAGGGGAGTATAAGCCAGCTTTCTCCCCATTGTCCTCCTGTTGGTAAACTAACTCCCCAGTCTCTCTCCACCAGACAAATATTCAGGCAGGCTTCTAGTATTT